TAAATAAATAAATAAATAAAATGAAAACGGTAGTAAAAATGTAGACGGATTTGTGTTTACAGATGCTTGTTTATGTATAAAATACTACACTGCATCCTTCTGTTTATAATAATAAACCTGGCCCCTGCCTGGACCACACACGTGGATTGTAGCTTCCCGCACTACTACGTCACCACCCGTGTTGCCAATCAGAAACCTGGTGTTGTGTCAGAAAAAGTACTCCGGCCATGCAAACACCGATTCAACACAGGAAGTGAAAAGAAGCAAAGTGATTAGTAGTTTTCAGTACTACTACTGTATTATTCACATTAGGTTTTTCTCAACAACWTTAAGAAACTGCTATGGATTAAAAACACCAGTTTGCCTTGAAAGTTCTTCCTACGACGGTTTTTTTTTTAAAAGGGACGCTTTTTTTGTCACAACACCAAATGCGTTACCAACTCCAACCACTTGATGTCGCTATCGGACAGAACCGAGTCAACATGAGCTTTACTTCATACAACCTCAAGACAGAAAGCGAATGTAGGGATACGTGCTTTATATTTCAAAAATTCACAATTTTTAATGAATAATTGTTTGCATTGTTGTGCTTTTGATGTAGATTTGGACCTGATTTTTACGGTTTCTTTATTTKTTTATATTCTGCATCTTTTTCTTCATTTATTACTGTATTTTTGGTGATCATTATGGTCAGTCTTTGTAAACACATCACTGTGGAAAGCACATCTCTTTCTAAAGTGTGCAGTAAGTCATTATTTTGTGTTACAAAATGCATTATTTGTGAGTTTTCTTTACAAGTGCWCGATGGACATGAAATTATTTTTCAGCCACAGATGGATATCTAACACTGTTTATATTGTGTTATTTAGACTTCTAATTGACATGAAGGTAYTATTTAAAACAATCGTAGCTGTTTAAAACCTGTGTTGATGGCTGAATTTCAGAAAACCAAAGCTATAATCCTGTAAAAATGAAAACGTCAAAATGTGACTTTTAACCTTGTCAAGGTTCTACAAAGTGTTTTAGAGATTTCTGATAAATATTTCCATTTTGGATCTGCTTAATTTGTCTCTAATGAATGGTTATGTGCCACGGAGCTTTAAGGTTGCTGTAATTAAACCTTTACTTTAGAAACCTGATCTTAATTCAGGAGTTAGACCTATATCTAATCTCCCATTCATCTCAAAAATGTTTGAGAAAAAAGTTACAGATCAATTATATGAACATCTGGATAGAAATAATCTTTATGAGGCATTTCAGTCAGGGTTCAGAGCTCATCACAGCACAGAAACAGCACTGGTGAAAGTTACTAATGATATTCTCATGGCCTCAGTGGACTTGTGTCCATTCTTGTCCTGTTAGATCCCAGTGCTGCATTTGATACAATCGATCACAATATTTTATTACGTAGACTTGAACTTGATATTGGGATTACAGGAACAGCTCTAAAATAGTGTGAGTCTTATTTAACTGATAGATTTCAATTTGTTGATGTTAATAATGAATCGTCTGCTTACACCAGAGTAAGTCATGGAGTTCCTCAGGGTTCAGTGCTTGGACCAATCCTCGTTACTTTATATATGTTCCCATTAGGTAAAGTTATTAAACAGCATGGGATAAATTTCCATTGTTATGCTGATGATACTCAGTTATATTTATCCTGATGAATCCAACCAGTTACTTAAACCACAAGCATGTTTTAACGACATAAAAAATGGATGACTCTTAACTTTCTGCTTCTAAACTCTGATAAGACAGAGGTTATGGTGTTTGGACCTAAACATCTTAGGGATCAACTTTGTAGCCTTTCATCTCCTCTGGATGGCATTAATCTGGCCTCCAACTTTAATGTAAAGAACCTTGGTATTATTTTTGATCAGGACATGTCTTTTAATCCCCACATTAAAAATGTTACCAGGACTGCCTTCTTCCACCTGTGTAATATCACTAAAATTAGAAACATTTTGTCCAAAAATGATGCAGAAAAACTGATTCATGCATTCACCACGTCTCGACTGGATTACTGTAATTCTTTATTATCTGGGCATCCAAAAAAAACTCTTTAAGAAGTCTTCAGTTAATCCAAAACGCTGCTGCTAAAGTTTTAATAAGAGTTGGAAGGAGAGATCATATTTCTCCAGTTTTAGCTTCTCTCCACTGGCTCCCTGTCAAATTCAGAATAGAATTTAAAATTTTACTTATCTTACTTCTAACATACAAAGCTCTCAACAAACAGCTTTCAGTTATCAAGCTCCTCTCTTGTGAAACCAACTTTCAGTTTCTGTCCGTGAAGCTGACACTCTGTCTACTTTTAAGATAAGACTGAAGACTTTCCTTTTTGATAAATCCTATAGTTAGACTTTGGCTTCCTCAGTTATTCCTTAGTTCTGCTGCTAAAGGCTCAGAATGCTGGAGGACAACACTTTTAGTCTCTCTCCTCTACATGTTGTAATTTTTTTCTATCAATAATATGTTTTCTTTGTCTCTCTCCCAGGAGAAAGTACAGCTGAACCAGTCCTTCTGTGTTTGTCTGTGTCTCTTTCCAGTCTCCCCAAACCCGATGCAGATGGCCGCCTGTCTTGAGCCTGGTTCTGGTTCTGCTGGAGGTTTCTTCCTGTTAAAACTGAGTTTTTCTCTCCACTGTTGCTAATATTCTGCTCAGGATGAGAGACTGTGATGAACTGATTTAATGCTATCTGCTGGCTTCCTTAGATTATTATTTTTTTGTACAGTGCCCTGAGATGACATTTGTTGTGACTTGTCACTATATGAATAAACGAAATTGAACTGAACTTACTCACATGCACACACACACATTGTCAGAAAAAGAAACAGCAGCAAACAATTTTAATTAGATAATCTTGTTATTAATTTTACAAAACAGCAGTTCTTTTAATGTAACTTATGTGTGTTTTCAATTAAGACCAACACACCTGTGATTGGTTAACTTAGTCTGAAAAGATTTCTCTTATACATATTTAAATGTTGCTTTAAAAAGCTTCTAGGGTAATATGCTTTTAAATTTATTGTTGGCCTCTTTTACCATTTTTAGACAAGCATAAATAAAAAACAGCACATAAACTGTTAAAGCTAAACCATTTAAACACATTTCCTTTGGTGCTGAGGTAATTATCAGTGGTTCTGATGTTAAATGTTACGACCTGGGGTTAGAACTTCGGCATGGAGCTCTGTGGAGTGTAGTCAGTCAGAAGAGACACTATCAGGCCCTAAAAAGGTACATTGAGTGATTTAATAAACAGAGAAATTTCTAATAGATAACTTGTACAAATTGGAGCAGTAATGTTTGAGCAGTTTACCCACCATGATGGTCCACTTCCTGTTTTCAGCTTCAGTAAAGACGAGGGAGCGGGACGAGTAGAAAACCTGGTCATCCACCTCCTCCGACTTCCGGGGGAGGCAGTGCAAGAAGGTCCAGTCTGGTTTGGCCACGCTTCCAGTCTGACCCAAAACACGGAGATTAAACTCTTTTTATGACAACGTAATGCATCACTGCAGCTGTTCTGTGCATTTTTTTTCTTTCAACATCAACCTGCATCGTAATCTGGTATCCATGGAAGTCTTTGTGCCTCTTCTTCTTCTCCTCCTCCTGACCCATGCTGACCCAAGTGTCAGTAACGAGTACGTTGGTGCCATGAGCTGCCTCCATTGGGTCGGAGGTCAGAACTAGTTGGGTCCCATGCTTGAAGCAGAATTCAGATTTACTAATTATTACCAACCCAGAGTCAACCTTTCAATCAGAACCTGACTGGAAGCAGTTTAAACCTTGCTGACTCTGACCTGTTTAGACAGCTTCTGTGCCTCCTCAATGACACTCTTTTCAGGCTCATAGCCCTGTAAAAAATTAATCTTTACTTAAAGTCTACAAAAAAATCCACACACAAGTCAGACAGTAAAAAATGAAAACAAAAACAGACCTTCGGTGTAGCAACTTTAAGATGAACGCCCAGTTTGGCTGCAGTCATCATGAACGAGTGAAGGATATTGTTCCCATCTCCGATCCAGCTCACCGTTAGTCCGCTCAGAGATCCGTAATGCTCCTGGAAGAGAACAGTTCCCTACATTAATTTTGTTCTGAGGGACACGTGTTGAAGGTACCTGGTACCTGTAAGGTCAGGAAGTCTGCCAGGATCTGGATTGGGTGATACAGATCAGAGAGGCCGTTGATGATAGGAATGGAAGCCTCCTTGTCCAGCTCTTCCAGGGTCGAGTGGCTGTACACTCGGGCCAAAACAATATCACAGAGACCCGACAGAACCCTGTGGAGGCAAATCAGAGATCATGCTGCTTTAGTTACTAACAGGAATAATATATGACATGGTCAGAGAATTAAAACCAGGGTTCCCACACACTTTACATTTAAAAGACTCCAAATATTGTAGATGTTTGTCCAGACTTATAGCTGGACACCAGGGAACATCATGGGTTTGAGTCTTTTTTAGTACTAAAAGTTAATCTGAAAACACTACACTGCAAAATTGTCCACCTACCCAAGTCTTACAGTCTTACTTATTTTCAGTCACAAAGTATTCTGGATCTTGTTTTGAGACTGATACAGTAAGAGCCAAATATGTTAGATTATTAATCTTGTTAATCAGGAAATGTTTCTTATTTCAAGAAGTCTTACCAAGTGCAATTAGATTGTTTCACTTAACTTGAGAAGAGAAACTTATTTTTAGATGGCAAATGTTTGCAGTGTATGTTCCCATTCAGAAAAAGAGGAAAAAACTATGTTTTAGGTCTTGTGACAGATTATTAGTCTGCTGTTATACAGTCATACAACCTGCAACCACTGGGAGTTATTTAGGGTTTTACAGATTGACATAAGGTGGAAATGTGAAAAGGACCGCAAACCTCATCATTAAAGAGCAACCACCTTATAAAACCTGGCTGGAGCCTTTCTCTTGTATGTATTAACTGTGAAAAATACTTTGCTTCTTTGAGCAATAATTTAGAAAGTCTGGAAACACTGATGTTTCTCTCAAACTTATTCAGACCTGGACAATAATTATACTTTTCAACACTGTGTAGGAACCCTCATCGTAGTAAGTGTATAATAAAGCAGTGGTTCCCAAAGTTGGGGTCGGGACACAAAGTGGGGTCCTGAAACATCACGGTGGGGTCCTGAAAAGATTTTGTAAATTAATTACATTTTTGCCTTAGTTGCCTAAAATGTATAAATATAGAATAATAAATATTGTTACTATGCCCATGTTTAGTTGACCTGATACAAATGTTTATCATCCAAAACTAGTTGTGGGCACAGGTCTCTGCTACTGTTATTTTGTGGGTCAAAAGCTGAAAAGTTTGGGAACCACTGCACTTTGGTTCCCAAAGTTGGGCTTGGGACCCAATTATGGGTCATGAAGCACCTTGGATAATCTTCAAAAATCAATTTAAAGGGTAAWAAAATAATTGGTGATGTAATATTTTCCCTATAATTATTACAAAAACACAAAATAAGTAAAAATAAGTATTTATATTTGTGTAGCTTTTGTTTTTAGGGTTATTAACAAAGTTTGTGTACTCAGACCTGTAATATTTGGGGTCACAAGTTTTTGCCATGAATATTTTGTGGGTCAGAAGATAAAAAGTTTGGGAACCACGGTAATAAAGTACTTAAACACCTTGCTGTGTCGGTGCAGCTCTCATTCACTCCCAGGTGGATGTCCTGCGACGTTAGAAAGCAGGGGTGTCCTCCCAATAAAGCAAAACCTGTAATAATAATAATAATAATAATAACATTAAAGCAATTTGGTTTCAGTAAAATCCAATTAAGGTGTAGAGTACTGTAAAATTAAGTAAAACGATCAGAAACATTGTCTATGTGAAGCAGACAGGAAGTGGAGGTGGAGGTGGTGTTTTGTTAGAGGCTCGCTCTGAAAAGTGTCTTTCAGCAGCTCTTTTGTCCCTCAGAACAATAACAGTGATCATCAGGCCAGTCAGCAGCCTGAAGGACACGTTCTGTTAAAATGTTCCCATAAACATCATCTATGTCAACCTTTAATGCTCCCCACACTGATCCACCTCTTTCATTTGTGTGTAGGAGCGTTTATGAGCTCCATTTACTGAATGAACACCTGTTTCTGTGGACATTCTTGTTCTGGTGCTCCTCTTCTCAAATATCATCCCAATCGACTTTCCTTGCAGAAGAGGCAGATACTGAAATAGAAAGAGCAGAATGGTTTGTCTGAACGGCCCGAGCAAAGACCACCAGGCCAACAGCTGGACATTAGTGTCAGTTACCTGTTTTTCGTGCTTTATTCGATGCTTGAGCTCCCCCGACACCCATAACAGCCTCTTGATCTCATCCGAGTTAAAATCTTTAAGCGTGAGAAAACTGCGACCTTTTAAGTCCACTGAGGTAAAGGACGCTGCTCCAGTGCTGAAAACATAGTGAATCAAAACATGTCTGACACAACCTGAGGCGCTCATTTCTAAACACACCTGGTTTCTTACCCAAATCCTCGTTTGCAGCTGTGGAGGAGAGGATTCAGACGTGTGGAAAGGCCTCTGCTGACAGATATTAGAGACATTGCTGTGCAGAGAGAAAAGCTGCAGACCTCCTGTCTGAACACATGGAGTGGACTGAGCCAACAGGCAGTGTGGTCAAGTAGGTCTGTATGGCAAGCAAATTTATTACATAATAGTCATGCCTGGGAAAAAGTACTTCTGAAGTTCTAACAAACATTTTAATGAAAATTTATAATATATATCTAGTCTTTATTTTTTAGGGATCTCTAAATACCTTAAAGCTAATTTTWCCCTCCTGAAGTTGTGGAAACTTTGACATTTAAGTTTTACTAACACTACAGTTGTTTTAGATTTCTTTAATTTCACTTCTGACTAATATGTTAGCAATGATGTCTAAATAATGGTGACTAGATTAAATATTGTGATTTTATTGTATGCTACAATGGCCTGCCATATTAGACATCAGTCTAAAAGTTAAACACATTGGTAGTTGTTTTCATTTGATGTATAACTCATTATAAAGGTAATAATACATCTTTTTTTCTAGTACTGTATGACCAAATAAACCACTTTCACATGCAAAACTAGATGTTTTATAATAGCTGAAATGTGGTTGGGGCTCTCTGTCAGTGTCAGTGAATGTTATTCAGTGTTACCATAGTTATTGTATTTATACAATAGTTTTAGGGTCTGTAAGATATATGGTAAATATTTTTAAAAGCACAAATATGCTATAGTTTGACATTTRTATTCACAAAAAAAAAATCACTTATTAATGTAAACACCCACAAATAGTAGAGAAATTATACATGGGTATTCGTCAAGTGACAGGTGCCACGCCCCTAGGGCGGGACATCCGTCATGTCCATATATGGTCAACTTCCGGTGACTTCCTTCCTCTTTTGATTGACCGTAAGTAACCCCCCTCCCTCCTCCCCCCTTGACTTCCAGTAACCCTAACCCCCCTTCACCCCCCCTTCACCCACAACCCTGACTTATAGTAACCTTTTGACTTGTAATAACCTTTGACATAGTAACCCTAGCCAGTGTTTTTCCCCTAGATTTCATC